AGGTGATTTTCACAAATGTGACTGTGGGCTACGGTTCAGAGTTTTTATTGCGCCAAATTAGAAGACTTTGAGCTGCTAATATTGTCAGTTATAGTATAGTTAAAGCAGATCATTTAAATTACAATGACAGTTCACCCAAAAATGAAAATTATGTCAGCAAATGTCATGTCATTCCAAACTTGTATGACACTTTTTTTTTAAATCAGTAAATCATGAGAGCATTTACATTTAAGGATGAACTATCCCTTTAAGCACAACATTCGACTTCATAAGTAGTTTGTTGAAAATGCTTTTGATAACTTGACAACATTAAGATGATTTACTGATGCGCTACACTCAGGATGGTAAGAAGGTGTCTAATAGGGGTGTAAATTGGACGTTTCACCATGATACGATATGTCATCGATCTTCTTAGCAAGCAATATGATATTTGTAGATATATCAAAACATGCCTTGATACGATTACCTGCAATTGATATTAAGTGCTATTTTATACTATCTTTGTGTTACTATATTATTTTTATGCTATTTATCAACTAAAAAATGCAACCAAAATATAACATGAATATTTAACTGAACTCTCTGAACTTGGGACATTTAGAAAATAAACCATCACCAATACATATGCATTGAAAAAATACATTTATTTTTATAACGGTCAAACATGTCTTCTAGTGGTCTCTCAAAAAATTCTCTTTTCTTTGCACTGCATGAAATTTGGCACGACAGTTTCAAAATAAAGAGTATCTTAAAAATATATCATATCGTTAGTCATTTGATCAATGTATCAATCAATATTACAGTTTTTTAACTGCTTACACACATTTTCAAAACTTTGCCTCTATTTTTTTTTCAAAACTTTACACACAGATCCAAGAATTGCACACACAAAATGAAAAATGCCACATAAACGCATCTCAAAAGCAAACATTTGCAAGAACCTTAGATTTGTGAGATTTGTGAGAACCCTAGATCCTGTTAGATTTGTGTTACACAGAGAATAGTGTGTTGTGTTTTGCAAAACGTGTTTTATGAAATTGAAAACTGAGTCAAAGGCAGAGAATTAGTGTATGGTTTTGCATATTTGGTGTGTGAGTGTCAGGTTTCAGAAATTGTGTGACAAGTAAAAATTTTGAGTGTAAGCAGTTGAAAAAAAACTGTAATGTATTGTTATGCCCCTAATGTCTAATTCAACATACAATATCTTCAACACATGGCAAATAAAAGGTAGTTTACACTACAAGACAACGATAAATGCAGTAACGAAGAATAAATGGAGGATTGGAACATTCTTAACAGAGACAGAAATGTTATAAATCCAAGCCCATAGTAAAATATCTTGTCCGTTTGACCTTGTGGGGAAATGCATTGGCAGTGCGAGTGGGTTAGAAGAGTCTCATTTCGGTCTGAAGACTTGCTACTATTTTCTCTCCCCAAAAGAGTCTGTTCAGTTCTTTCAAACCAGTATAAGCTGTTAGGGCAAGATTAAGAATTGTCGTGACGCACACTCTCCTCAGAGGAATACTCTGCTCTTATCGGGTGCGCTTGAAAGTGTTAAATGTGTCATATTCACCTTGCTGGAAAAAAAGTGGGTGTCATTCGACACAGCAAGGACGAGAAGCCATTCCGCCTTGTGCCTCAGATACTCCTGTATGATTTCAAACTGACATCTTGAAAGAAAGGGGGAAAAAAGATGCAAAGTGTCTCTCAATCAAAATCCCCTTTGTACCAGCATGAGAGGCGTTGTAAGGGAATGAAAAGTTGGAGTTGAGTCTGTCTACAATTGTACCCTTCCCGCACGTAGCTTACTTTTTAAAAAGCGAGGTGAACTGAAGCATCCAGCTGTGAACAGAGATCATTAATAGAGAACAGTTCAAAGTTTTCCATTAGACTTGCTCCTGAAAACGAATGCGTACAGGCTGCAGAATCTAGATTACTTCTTTGTTTCAAAGGCTTTAAATGTTTTTAGATAGTTTCTTTTGTAGCTTAGATGTAAGCTTTGTTTTTCTTTAGACAGCGGCAAATGCAAATGAAGATCTCAGTGGGGCAGCATGATTCAACAATGGTGATTTTAACAATTTCTCTAATAACTACCGCCTTTTGAATCAAAAAACTAAAACCTGAGCAAGAAACTCACGCAATCTTTAAAATAATCTTACTATAGTGATCATGTTAAACTGTAATCTGTCAGATCCATGCAGGGTGTTCCTTTAACTACACACAATAGTACGCCCAGTTTTATTAAGATTAAACATTTTCTTTTTCTTAAGGTGCTATTTACTGTAACATGACTTCATTTATTTTTACTACGCATGCTTGTTCTACAAAGATTTGATGGTTTTAGCCTTGTTCCAGATGAGACTTAAAGTATTAAACTATGAAATCTCATTATAAAATTATGAATTATTTAGAACTATGATAATATAATCAGAGTGAATTCATTTAAATATTTATTGGATAAAAATGGTTTATGCACACTTCTGTTTGGGGTCAGAATGACCTTTTTAAAGAAAATAATACTTTTATTTAGCAAGAATGCATTAAACTGATTAAAAACGATAGGAAAGGCATTTATAATTTTACACATTTTCAAGTGTCATTCTTTTTTTTATTCTTTTATTCATCAAAGAATCCTAAAAAAGTGTATGTTGGTTTCCACAAAAATTAAGCAATGCAACTGTTTTCAACATTGATAACAAGAAATGTTTTTTGAGCAGCAAATCAGCATATTAGAATAATTTCTGAAGGATCATGTAACATTAAAGACTGGAGTAATGGCTGCAGAAAATTCAATTACATTTAAAAATATATATTAAAATAGATCAAATGTCAGTTATTTTAAATTGTACAATATTACTGCATTTTTTAAACAAATAAATGCAGCCTTGGTAAGTATAATAGACTTTCAAAACTTTTAAAATCTTTTTTACACAAATGAGGTAAAAATATAAACAGTTCAATCATGAGTCCAACCAAATGCTAGTATTTTTCTCCCTCAATTTAAACTTTAGTTATTTACCCATAACAGGCATGAATGAAATAAAATACGAAGAAAATAAATTACAAAAAATTAAAAATTATTTGTGAACAGAATATGTCCATGTCCAATCAAACCGTAATTCTGAAACGATAATACATTATTATGTAACTATTACTAAATTGTGTCCACTTCTGATGCATAAAGTTCTAGCCTTAGCAAGAAACAGCAGTCTGACACTCCATTCTAAAACTGCCCGTATCTGAGAAACACCCTATGATGTATTCACTTGTTAACAGCATGGCTTACTTAATTTCCTAACAGAATGTGTCTGGGATTACTCGAGAGAGAGAGAGAGAGAGAGAGAGAGAGAGAGAGAGGAGACAGAATCTGCTTTTGGATCAGATGACAGATGTCTACAACAGCTGATGTTCGATAAGGTAAGAACCACCTGACGCGAAGCTACAGCTCGTTAGCTCAGCATTCTGCCCGCTTCAGATCAGAAAGAGATGAAATAGTGCGGTAAGATCACATTTATTTTCATTATTTCATTATAACATTTAGCTACATGAAGTGATTATTAGAGAGAGAGAGAGAGAGAGAGAGAGAGAGAGAGAGAGGAGACAGAATCTGCTTTTGGATCAGATGACAGATGTCTACAACAGCTTTCAACCAGATGTTCGATAACTTTTATTTAAAAAAAAACAAAAACAACAACAACAACAAATAGCAGTTCCACTTAAACCACAAACTTATAAATATCAGTAGGCTGGAGTCCAAACTCAGAACATCTCTAAATGGGTTTCTTAGGTTTAAGGAGTACATCAATCTTCATTGTAGATCAGGAGAGAGTATTTGGTTTAATATTAGATCTACGAAGTAATAGTACACACTGTAAAAGGGTGTATGTTTTATACTGGGTGAGCTAGATTATAGAAGTGTAAATCCTGTCTTTCAGCACAAAACCATTTGTGGTACTAAATTATTCATTGTTTACTTTTTCCAATGTCATCCATAATTGATAACAGATAAATGGAACCAGGACAAACCTTAAAAACTCCATCTCCAAAGTAAAAGTTTATTCAAAAAAATAGTTGTCATCATTTACTCATCCTCGTGTCATTCCAAACCCGAATGCTGTTTTTTTCTATCTTTCTCAATGGAACACAAAAAATAACATTTTAAAGGAGAAAGATAAGGTTTGGAACGACTTAAGAACAAGCAAATAAAGACAGAAAGTTAATTTAAAATCTTGAATCTGATTATACTATGTGATTAAAACTTGCTGTGTCTTCGCATCCAGTTTAATCATCTGATTCTTCCTTCTGGCAACTGACTTTTAAACGGTACACTGGTTAATATGCTTGTTAATTTTAGGACATTTGGTTAATCAAACTCTGTATTCCATATGTCCTGTATCTAGGTCGATGACCTATGATCTGCCTCCTTCATCCAAAATTATGACATGTCCCACACCGAACAGATAAGCCTCAAGCATCTGAGTCACGCTGTTCCTAACCCAAATCCAGAGTGCCTGCTCTGCATTAGAATAGCACTGGGAAAACACTCAAGTGTTGATTGCTCACTGCATTGCATTGCATTTGTTGTTATTTTCTTTCTCAAAGAATGGATTACAGCTGGCAGCGCTGAAATCATACTGGATTTTATCAAAGCAGTGCAAACACATAGCATTCTATACATTATTTATACCTATCAGAGGGGAACGTGACCATGCATATTCATTGGAAAGTGTGAGGCAAGCTTTTCTATAGTAAACATCAACCCAGACCTTTACTCTATTTCCAAATGAACCACTGCTGACCACAAGCACATACCCAGTGTACTAAATTGAGGGTCAGTTTTGAATGTCCATTCAGTAATTTGTGTAATAGTTTTATTCATTGTGTGATTATTAGTCTGGCAGTTAGTCAGTCACCTATAGTTAGGACCCAGATCGTGTTAGAGACCCGGATGCTGGCACAGTTAAGAAAAGGTGTAAGCGCTGTTATTAACAAAAGCGTGAGATCGATGGACCTAACGGTAACAACGTCATTTCATCCGCAATGCTTTGATGAGTAATCGCATGTGTGCTTGCATCAAAAAAAAAGAGTAAGTTAATTTCTTTATACTAGTGATGGGAAATCAAGGCTTTCTAAACCGTTTGAGGCTTTCATGAAATTGTGCCGAAAAACGGTTCATTACTCGAAGCTTTTAGCACAGTGTGAATTAGCGACATCTGGTGGTCAGACCACCAAATCTAACAAAACATCGCGGAGCAGGATGGTTTGAAAAAGTTTATAATCTGTGCCAACTCGTGTCATGTGTAGTCCGGTCAACGGATTCACATATTGATCAATAATATAAAATATACAAGTGTGTGATTATAATTAATAATTGACGTGAGTAGTAGCAAAAATATTTTGGGTGAGCTGTTCGGGTTCTCTGAGACCCCAGCAATAGAACATGACAAAATGCACTAGAGGTGTGACGTGCATTCAGTTTCTGTCTGGTGTTGAGGTTATTCGAAACTATTCTACTGAATCCCAAATAAGTGTATACACACACACACACACACACACACACACACACACACACACACACACACACACACACACAACCAAGTCAAGGTCAAGTCAAATACAAGAGTCATGCGAAGTGCCGATTTTTTTCAAACTAGTTGTCCCGGCCTTCCGATACTGCATGACGTTTGAAGCTTCAAACATCATCAATCACATTGTATTGTCATTTCGATACAAGCATCGGCACAGTGTGTGATACAATAGTGCTTTGAAAACTGCGTCGTAGCATCGGAGCCTCGGGATCAATCGTCCCATCACCATTAATTTATGTTTAAAGACGTCATTATTGCATATGCCGTAACACATGTCTCTGTAAGCTAATCACGAGCTAATCCTGTTACGCAATCACTGTATAAACATATTTACCATGTGTTATTGACATACAAAATGCAGACTGTTATTAATTTGCATATTTATGTTCTTTAATGTAAACTTATACTTTATTATTGTTGTTTCTATTTCTAGAACCACACTCAAATAAACTGCTCAAATTCTGAAACGAGTGGTCTGTGAGTGGTGTGTGTTGCTAAATCCTCCAACTGACATAACGTTATTGTTCTGACCGGACAATATTTGGTGGTTGCCACCGGGTATTAATTAGCACCTAAGAGCTTAACAATTCTTTACACCCAACATCTCAAAACGTACCAATGAGCTCCCCTTTAATGGCGTAGACCATTAAAATCTGGATTTTCCTTACTTACTATCGATATAAACAAACTTTAATGTTTAAAACGTTAATTTCCTTCCATAAAAAAATTATGTACCATAACATTCGAAAGCCAACATCTCAAACCTTAGTAGCTTTGTTTTTTACATGCAAAAAGGAAGGCTAATTATAATAGTCTATCATTTAAATCCTGATGACTTACTGTAGCAAAAACTATGGAAGCTTGTTTCTGCCGTAAAATAAAATAAAATAAAAAGAACACAGACGCAGCTAGATAATTTCCATAATGACCAGCGCAATCTACCAAGAGCAGTGCACATTACTGAAGACATGCTTTTTTTGAGAGTTAAATAATGGCACAAATACCAGTAATTTGACGAGCGCAAACGTTCGTAAATCATGTTGCGTGATTCATTTTAATACTCTCCTCCCAAAAATGTTGTGTTTCAAAGTGAAACTCCTACAAATGCATATTCAGGCGCAAAAATAACTGTGTCTAAGCCTTTTCAGCACTAATTCTTCACTGCTAGTTGTAAGTAAATCTGGCCCATAGACTTTATTTCGCGCAATTCTGTGTTGAATTGTCACAATTCTGTGAAAAATGTCAGAATGGCAAGATACAAACTCAGAATTGTGAGAAATAAACACAGAATTATAATAAACTCACAAACTCAAGAAAAGAAACAAGCTTAAAAAAAAACGCAGCTGACAAATGGACGTGTAAAACTAAATTCTAAATAGACCATCATTAACTACATACTGATACTTCAGGAAGAAATTAAAATGCTGCAAATGCGTAAAAAATATGGCCATTTAACATGCAAATCACCATTTGAAAATCAGTTATATTGCAGAGTAATGGTTTCATCACTGTCATAATATTATCATAATGTCATAATGCGCAAGCATTCACTTGGAGAACTAGCAGGACGTATATTTGGTTCATTTTTAAATACATTTAGCTTATTTATGTAGTAGCTCCTCATATGTGAATATGCTGCTGGAGTGCAACCCCAGGGAATACATAAAGCTGTTGTGTCCCTCTTAGGAACACTCTCACTCAGAGAGCATGATGGGAAATAATCTGCTGAATGTGTGGCCCAAATGTTGTCTCCCATTTCCTCCGCTGCGGTCCATCCAGCCTGACGTCAATATGTGGATTAGAATGTTTTCATCTCTTTCACTCCCTCCGCCCTTAATAATCTAAAAGCTGCTTTCCCAGGAAGCAAAACAGCGACATGTGTAACAAAGATCAAAAATCCCTGAGCCAGAAAGAGAATTATTTATTTTTTAACCTTTATTTACCAAAAAGAAGGTGTGGTGAGGAGACGAGTGGGATACACCTCCGATTCTAATGCCTCCTTTCAATTATCCAATACATGTCCATTGTGTTCATCACCTATTTATTGCAACCCACTATAAAAGGATATAGTATAGTAATAATAATAATAATACATTGTCAGGAAGCAAAGGGATACACCAATATTAAAATGAGTTAATTTTAATGTTATGTGTGATAACTGATAACTATTAAATATTAATATTTAATCCTTTAAAAAGATTAAAAATTCTATATTAATTATTTAGAAGAAACATAATAATAATAAAATACATTTAAACTTAAAACTAAATATTTTAAGCCAATATTAAAATTCTAAAATTGACCAATAACCGATATGGAATCTGCATATATTGTGCATTAAAAAGACCAACACGGACATCACGCGTCTCAATTATCAAAGGTACAAACCATTTTCTTTGTAAGTTAAAAACCCACTTCACTCAGATCTCATATTGATGCTTCTGAGGGCCAACAGTGCCACATTTCCTGAATTGTGATGGACTGAATCATGAGATGTTCTACTCTAAATAGTGTAAGCAAGTCTGCTGACAGGCTGTCCAACAGTAAAAAACATTGACAGCGACAGAATGCATTTTATATGTCTAGTACCACGTTAACGATGATAAACAAGTCACACAATCCATATTTATAGCTTAACACGAGGAAATGCTGCGGAGAAATCAGCGAAAACTGGTCGTCTCCTGCTGATCCTTCTAAATAGTAAAGCTAGGGACTAAAGTCTCATCAATACTCGTCTGTCACCGTGAGGGACGGCAGTCCTCAGGGGCTGCACATGATCCTTCTCATTACTCATCCTGAACAAAGAAAATAATAGGCAGAATTTCTAGTGTTTCTTATTTCAGAAATGATAAATGGAATTAAGTAATGGCTTCATATGCTACAAATAATGTAACTCCATTAAGTGTAATTTGATCCTAGTTATGGCATAATTCCTAAAATGACCTGACCTAAATTGCACTCTTAATACAGTAAAGCCTCTTTAAAGCAGGTTACTGTTTCCTTGATATTTAGCCAGCTACTGGGACTCTGTGGCTGCATTCAGAGTAGCATACTACTCTTAGTACATACTTACTAGTATGTTTGCGGCATTCATATTTATTTAATTGCACACATACACACACACACAAAAGTGTTAATGTGATGGAGAACCAAAAAAGCAAACAAAGCCGTTTCTCTCCTTACCTCTAGCTACTAATGGGGAAACCCTGCTGCTTCATGAATTTTCAAAACCGCAGCTTTTTCTGAAAACTCCTTCCAGGGTGATGATTTTCAAAAACTCCAGTTGCAGTGTTATCGTGTAGACAGCGAAACCGGAGATTTTGGCTTGTGGCGTCGGAGCATGTGCTGTTATTTCTGCCAACTGGAAACTTATTCAGGCTTCTGATTGGCCAACATGGCTTTATGGTTGAGATTATATCGCCACCTGTTGGCTTGGCATGCTCTTGACAGTGCTTCATAGCATGCTTTTGCATTTTCATGTGGACAGAGATTTTTTTTTAAACGGAAGAAGGAAATATTCCGTTTATAAAAATACCTGTGTACATGTGGACATGGCCTTAGAGTGCTCATGGTCTAAAGAAAGCTTTCTTTGTGGAAAAGTCGCAGCTCTCACCTTCTTTATCCATGGCATTTGTCTTGCCTTTAAAAATTTCCCAGTCCAGAGGTATGACTATGCAGCATATGATAACACGCCGCCAAAATCGTAAAGGCCAAGGTAAGTTCAGCTGCTATTATGCACACCCTCTGGATTTCCTCTCATCTGCATCACTCTCAAGAGGACACATAAAGAACAGGGCATTTGGGATAATGGGCTGAGACCCACTCTATTATTTGTACTGAGGGAGCCTTAAGTCCTCTGAGTTTCCCTCTCAGGAATCTGAACCAGCCAAGCAGGAAGTCAACTTAGAAGTAGAGCCATTTTCTTGTGTTAATAACATATGGTAATAGCCTCTTGCCATTTTTCATTTTCTTTACTTAGCAGCACAACAACTCTCCAAAGACAATAAACAAATTGTTTAATTGTAGGTTTATCTGTTTACCTGCAAGCTAAATCTAGTCAATGTGACATATTTTTTGCCTATGGGGACAACAACAACAAAAAAAATCAAATCAGTTTTTACTTAGGGAATAGTTTTGTGAAAAAAACAATATGATAAAAGAAAGGTAGCATAATGAGGTTGAGATGGAAAGTACAGACATTTGTATTATCTGCATTAAGTAGTAGGATAAAATACATACTGTAACATTTTCAGGGAAAATCTTTCAGATATTTCAATGTCTACAATATCTGAAACATCTCTACACCAGAGAAACAGTACTTCATTCAAATTATTTCTACTTTCTAGCAATGAGGATTATGTAAATTATGCTTATGACACAGTCATAATCATTTCTGAATATTATGAAATCAGGAAAACTTTTCTTTCATGACCTTGCCATGTCATAAAAAGGTCAAATAATCTTATATATATATTTTAAATTTGACAGGCCTTGTCATGACGACGTGTCTGCAGGGATGTGTTCCAGTTCATTTTGTATGCCCTTCACCCACTAACTTCCTTCCGTCTCATTTTTTTGGATGTACATCATTGATTATGTTGCCCACTCCTGGCGAAACCTTTGCAATGGCCTGAATTGAAACGTCCTAAGCTTTTAATCACTTGAAATTCGCTATGGAGGTGATTTATTATTTACATTTTTTCCTTTACAAATTAGTTTGATGCAGTATTCTATGGGCCAGATATACTAACAGCTTGCGCCAGCGCAAACATCTTTTGGTGTTAAAATTGTACTTTCAGGATTTACTAAAGATGTGCACTGAAGAATTAGCGCTGAAAAGGCATGGACATAGTTATTTTTGCACCTGACGTTTCTGCTTATCAAATTACTGGTATTTGCACCATTATTTAACGCCCAAAAAAACACGTATTAAAGCAGACAGTAATTTGCGCTGCTCTTGGTAGATTGCGCTGGTCATTATGGAAATTATCTGACTGCATATGTGTTCTTTAATGTGTGCATTGTCAGTAAAACACCCGCAGACTTTTCCTCTCCCATCAGCACTTTTATGGAATTGCACTAATTTGCCCTGTTTAGTAAACCTGGCCCTATATGTATACAGGTATGCTTGGGCTGCTTTAAATGTAAAAAAAAAATATATATATATATATATATCATAGAGTTGTTTGAGGTGGGGATAAATTAAACGCAATCTGTGATGACATAATAATCGTGTTGCATTTTGGTATATGAAGCAGCCTGAAGCGTACATATGAAGTAGACTCGCTCCCTCAGTCAAAATTTAGGGGCCAAGGGTCTGTCCATATAAACTTCCCTTGTCCACTTCACAAAGTGGAACGCACTTCAAAATGGCACCGGGGATTCCCCCGAGGGAAGTTCACGAGTGCGTGTCTAAAAGTGAAATTGAATGCAGCCCAGGTGTCCTCTCTGTTGTATTACTTCCTGGTTATTATCACATGACAACAAAATGGCTGCCTTTATGCTGGATTTGTGTGATGATTACACTGACCTTGATATGGTGAACATATTATGAGCATATTATATTTCAATATTATATATTTATATATATACTGAAAATAAAACAATCATACAAAGTCCATTCAGAAAACTTTTCATTTTAGTTTGATTAATTACGATAAACTGTTTTTTATTATAACACAGGCTTGTAGAAAGGAATGACTTACTGTCAACTGTCAACAGAACAAAAGCAAATGTAATGATAAAGACCAGCATACTGTGAACACAACATGCACAAAAGCCAAAGCAAGAAAGATTTCATTCTTATAAAATTGGCCAATCACTTGCAGTCCATTGCTTTTACTGTAAAGGGAGGGAATGTCTGAAAATGTTCAATAGAAACTGCAATTTGCAAGATCGCTTTGTATTTGTGCTGTTGTAATTCTTGTAATATATGAGGGTTTCAGAGCATTCAAAGTCACCGTGGATATGTCTCTACTCACTAAATTTGGCCAGCAGAACCCACACGAAATCTAGCATGAACTACGAAACTGTCAATTTAAAGATATAAACCACAAATTGTCCATACCCTAATGATTTCTCTTTTTTCTTGTCTAATCATTTTATGCAAGCAGCGATTGAGGCACCGTGCCAATGGTCAATGATTGGTGGACAGAAAGGCTGGCACATTCTTCTTTCCTGCCAATATCCATTCTCACTTCCTCTGAGTCGAGCCCAGCTGTCACAGGCAGATGGAAACAGGACAGAGAAAAGCCACAGATCAGATAACGGATCACAATCCTTAAATTCTCAACTAATACAGCCCCCAAACCTTCCTTCAGCACCACCTTGCCTTGACGAAATGGGCCTTCACTAAAAATCTCTGTTCCTTACATTTATGGAAACATGGAGCTCAAATCTAAAGGGGTTTATTCTGACCCTAGACACATCACAACAATTCCCACATTTGCTGGCCATGTATGGATATCATAGGCAGAACCTCAAGAGGTGTGCATGACCACCTGATCTACGACCCTGGATTCTCTGAACAAGAACTGGAGCCATAAATGTGGGCCGCATTAACCCTGAAATTAGGGAAGAGTGGTGCTGCATTTTTCCACAAGTACCCACAATGACCTCTCTTTTTCTTCTATTGTCATCAAAACATTCTTTGTTCCCTGCACATTAACCTCTGAACCTGCACTCAACTGTTAAAATGGAGTATAATTCTATTGGCTTTTGTTCACCACCTTATCTTTAGAGCACTGTGCTAAAATCTGTGTGTTTGCTTTGATTTGGTGACCCTTTAAAGATATATATTAATCTTTTTTGTAAAGAACTGAAGATAAATATTATTCATTATGTCTATATTCCAGGAACTACAGTATGTTTCCTCATAGTTCTCAGATGCTGGGCAGCACAGCTTGAATGAATGATCTTGAAGTGTACGGAGATAAAAGGAAAAGTAATCTTGAAAACACTCTGAAGAACAACTTAAATGTATGCGTGTTTGTCGCAGCGCTGTGTCCATTCCTGCAACAGAGGGACTTCCAAGCAAGACAAGAATCAAGATTATAAGAAGTTCATTACTGAGAAACTCATGTTTGAACTTTAACCTCAAAGGATTTAAAATGAATGCGGTGAGAGATTAAAATCAATATACAGCACAATAACCTTGAAATATCGATGTATAAACTCCTTCTACACCTTAATAAGAGCAAACGGGAGACTACAAGACGCAAGTCATTTGACCAAAATTTTTAATAATTAGCTTGTAGTGGGAAAACAACAATCTGTACAAACAAGTTAACTGAATAAAAGACATAAAGTAGGACAAAATGGTCAGGCAAAACATATACAGGGCCATGAGCATTTAAGAGCTGTGAATCAGTCCAGGCAAACTAACAAGCATGCAGCATCCAGAATCAGTGGCTAGAGAAATGCACAGGTCACTGGATTTGGGAAGCAATGGCTGCAAGTGGAATTTAATGGAGAGTGTGAATGTTTGCAGGGGAAAACCACTGACATCGCTGGAGAGAGATGCATATTTTTGCAAAATGTCACAGTTATTCTGTGTGTGTGATCTCAGCAGACATGTTGGTATACTAGATATGTAGTTGGATAGATGGGATGATGGAGCTTATCCCAATGTCTTAGGCCTGTCTATCACAGCGCTTATATACAACTCCATTCACACTTACACAAATATCTGCAATTCACCTATCCTGGGACGCATTTCCCAAAAGCATTGTATAGTTGCATGTTCTGCTGTTACTAACATAGTTCAATACATTCGCAAACAACATCACAAACTTGTGTGGCTGGAACAATAGCTTTCAAGCTGTAGTTAGAAGCATAGTTCCCTTTCATGGGAACTTTGAACTGCGTCCTCTAGGGGTCGCTATGGGGAATGCCTCGTCGTGACCCGTGTCTGAAGCATACATTGAAAAAACACCAACTCGTTGGCCGGCGACAGCCATGACGTCACTACCGGTGCGACTATAGTATAAATAGGCGCCGGGAGCTACACATCATTCTCTTCTTCGTCTTCGTTAACTGTTTTGTTTGAAGCGTGCATTTCTGTGGTAACAGCAATCTCTATTTATCTCATTATGGCGAGCATTAGCAAAGCATTTAAGGATGTGTGCATCCATGTTGACGTTTTTTAACATCTGATGACACACACGATCTATGCGTTGTTTTGTTTGGGCATAGAGCACGCACGCGATGTCTCCGAGGGGGCAATCGGCGTGCACTTTTCCAAGGAAAAAAGCTCCGCTCTCGTTTGTCTCTCTTTTCGAGGAAAGAGGGGCAGCCATCTGCTTCCCGCGGTTCAGGACCCTCCGCTGCTGAGGCACGGAGGAGAATGAGCTCGTGGGGATCTCAGGTGGACCTGGCCGATGAGTTTAGAGAGGGGCTTTCCTTCTCGCGCTCATCGGCGGGGGGCGAGAGACAGCCACTGGAGGATGATGTTCTCTCTTTAACATC